ACAAATGTCACCTCTCGCAAGAGGCAGCTGCAACCAGGCCTCTTTTGGGGCCAGAGCTCATCAGCACATTCTCCGGGAGAGAGGAGGCCAGGGGGTGGGGACATGTAGCAAGCCCCCGCCCCCCTCCCAGCAGCCCTCCTCTCAGTCCGGCTCCTGAGAGAAAGAAGAAGAAAGGCCTCACAACCTCCCTCCCTGCTTTCCCAGGCCCTGTTAAGAGGTAAAGAAAAAAACCCGTGTGTGTGTGTGTGTGTGTGTGTGTGTGTAAAAAGTGCCTCCAAGGAGGGAGTGGGGGTTGCAAATAAAAAAAGTGTTTGTTTGTGTGTGTGTAAAAAGTGCCTCCACAAGCCTGCATGAGGAGGGGGTGGGTTTGCAAATAAAAAACGTTTGTGTGTGTGCAAAAAGTGTCCCCACAAGCCTGCATGAGGAGGGGGTGGGTTTGCAAATAAAAAACGTTTGTGTGTGTGTAAAAAGTGCCCCCACAAGCCTGCATGAGGAGGGGGTGGGTTTGCAAATAAAAAACGTTTGTTTGTGTGTGTGTATATATAAAGTGCCTCTACAGCCTGGGTGAGGAAGGAGATAGGGCTTTGCAAAAAAAAGTTTGTGTGTAAAAAGTGTCTCCTGCAGCACAATCACAGTGCAAAATTGGCCCCTGCACATTTGTTTTTTAATGACACAAACAAAAAACTTGTTTGGGCATTCATTTGCAGAACTCCCAGTACAGTATTAAGAAGGCTGGTTGCAGAAGCCTTTGAAAGTCCTGGAATGAAATTTGTGCCTTTAGGAAGCTAACAATCCCCTGGTTGTGTTTTGTTTCCAGTGCTAGAATTGGATCCACACACCATTGAACGGTGCACTATTGTTGCACACACTTTAGTGACTCAAGACAGGATTTAAGTACCCTAAACCATTGAACTGCCTACCATTTGGTTTTTCTGTCATTTTATTCATTTGAGCGACTCCAGAAGGCGAGTCCTACAGATTTTACCCCTGAGCACTCTGTAATGCTAATTCAGATTCATCCCAGCTGCATGTATGCAGGACCAGCCCTAGATCCAATGGTGCCCCAGGCAAGTCCTTCCCCTTCCAATAGTTCCAACTTTTGAACACCTTTTTAAAAATTGTGTGTGTGTTACCCTCACAACAACCCTGTGGGGTAGGTTAAGTAAAAAAGGGGAGATTTGGCCCGGGGTCACTCATCAAGCAGAGTGAGAATACAAACCTGGGTCTCCCCACATCAATCTGCAACTCTGACCACTGTGCAGAGTGCTGCCTCTACTGATCTGTAATGTTCCAGAGGTGTTGTAATGTAATACTCAATTTCTCAAACAAGTGTATGCCTGTTTGTTGGTCCACTTAGGAGTCTTGATCCTGGTTGTGTTGTGGTTTGGTGTAGTGGTTAAGTGTGCGGAGTCTAATCTGGGAGAACCGGGTTTGGTTCCCCACTCCTCCACTTGCACCTGCTGATGTGACCTTGGGTCAGTCACAAGCTCTGGCACAGCCGTTCTTGAAAAAGAGCAGTTTCTGTCAGAATTCTCTCAGCCCCACCCACCTCACAGGGTGTCTGTTGTGGGGAGGGGAAGG